GTCTGACTTTGAAAAAAAATAATAATAAAATGATACGATACGTCTTTGATCATTATTATGATCACCCTATTAGTCTCAAAACGATCTTTATCTTCATATCATATAACAATAAACACGAGAATGTGTAAATTTGCATGAAAATGCATTTCATGTTACCCTTCGAAATTTTAATGATTGTATAATAAAAATTTTATTTTTTCATTCAAAGAAAAAAAAAATTATTTTTTTCCAGTAATAACTGGTATGAGGAAATTTATGAGCAAAAATAAATTATTAGTTGTAATTACAAACTATACCATAATACCAAATAAATATCGCTCATCAAACTTAAAATTTAATGACTAAAAACTAGTTTTAGATTATAATGTATCAAATGCACTCAAGATTATAGGGATGACAATGGGTCGGGTTTTGTCAAACCCAAACCATGGGTTTATCCGCCAAAAAAACTTGGGGTAAAATCTGGTGGGTTTGAAAAACTCAAACCCAGTGGGTATCCACAGGTTCATGGGTACCCGTGGATTTTTGTGGTAAAAAATTTACAATAACAAGTTTGTTTCAAAATAAAAGTTTAACATCATTTTTCTCATACAAATTATTCATACAAAAAACACCAATCTAGAGCATACAAGAAAATCGCAAGTGATCAATACAAATTGTTCAAAATTAAAGATAAACATCTATAAACAACATGATTAATTGAAAGCTTCTTCCTCCCAACTAAGTTTCTTCACTCTCCACTTCATAATATCAACTTCATTTTAAACAATTAGAAAGAACAGATTATGCATGTCTCCACAAACATAAAGAATATTAGTTGTTTAAAGAAGATATATTGTTTAGAATATTAAATATACAGGGAAAATAATTATATGTGTGTGTGCGGGTACTCATAGGGCGGGTTTACCTAAACCCAAACCCAACCCGGTGAATAGTGTAGCGGGTTTAAACCCTGTTTGAGCCTAACTGGGTGTAGGAGTGAGACTCGGGAAGATGGGTCAAGGAGAGTAAGCAAGGGAAGAATAGCCGTCGATGGAAGAACTGAGGAAATTACGAATAGAGTTGAGAGGGTAATATCTTAGAGAGAGAAGTGGATAATCTTAGAGATAGAGTCAGAAAAATCCGATCCCCTCACCCACCGGAGTAAATGCCATATTTATAGGCTACATGGTGGTGGGTGAGTGGGTGAATGGTTGAGGTACATGATGGTACAATGATATGACCACTGACATGTCAGGGATTTAGGCCATGCCCATACCTAGGACATGTCAGAGGCTTACCTATGACTGTGTTAGGGACCCTGATGTGACTACCCCTCGGGAAGCGAGACGACGCTTTCTGCGGCTCTTTGGTCTAGTCCACGCTTCGATCCTTCCACGCGCACATAGCATGTGCCGCGCTCGAGGTCTTCACGCCGGTCCGCCCTCACGGTGTCGCGCTCGCTGGGATCTCCGCGCTCGGTAGCGTCAGTGCGTTCCTCTGGCGCTGCTAGGTCCGAGTCACATGCCCAACAATTGCCCCCATCAGGGGGTGTTCTGTGAATACCACCTGTTTAGATTTCCGCTTGATTGACTCGGGCCTGCATGATCTCCGCGGGGTAAGTTTTCCAGGCTCGTTACCGATCGCGCTGATCTCCGGCTGATTGGAGTCGTGTTGATCCCGCGGTTTTCGTGGAATTCTTCACTCGATGTGCGCGTTACTTTGAGCTACGCGCGACGCCTGCGCTTGAGGTTGGATTTCTTCACTTAGTGTGCGCGCTACTTTTAAGTTAAGGGTGGGTCGCTCGAAGTTGAGCTTGAGGTGTTTTTTCTTCCTCGCGCGTATGCCCTCCGTTGTGCGCGTTACTTTGAGCTACGCGCGACGCTTGCGCTTGTTTCTTCCTCGCGGGTATGCCCCCCGTTGTGTGCGTTACGTTGAGGTTGGTGCGCGCTACGTTTAACTTGGGTTTGGGGTGTTTTTTCTTCCTCGCGGGTGCGTCATGCCCCCCAGGCGGTGCGCGGCACTTGTGGCGTCATCGACTAGTGCCTATGATGGTAGGTATCCACGTGTCCCTACATGATTGGGCTACTTGGGCGGGGATTTTTTGAAATTCGAAAAGATTTGGTAGGATCTGACGGTTACGGATCCCTATGTGACTTTAACTCTTCGTTTTCCCCTGGCCGACTATAAATATGGGCTGGCTGTGTGGGAGTGGGACTCATCTGTCTCCTTCGACTCTGCTTCCTGCTTCTTTGTTCTGTTTCTTCGTTCATCCCTTCTCTGAGATTCCTCTCCTTCTTCTACAACCTCGATTCTCCTTTTGCTGTTGCTAAAACTCGAGTTATTATCATGGCTAGCATCAACATCGACGAGACCGAGGTCGTGCAAGGCGACGAAGGTAATCTCTCCCCTCTTTCGCACACTTCTACTGATTGTTCGCTGGAATTGGGCGGTTCCGGTGATGGGGACGACGGCAGTGACGATGGGGTTCCGGCGACGCCGTCATTCGACATCGAGTCGGAGGGATGACCTCGGCGGTTCTCCCGACGTGGGTATGGTTGCTTCCGGGAGCGGGCAGGCGAGACAAGGAGCTCATGGGGTGTTGATAATCCGGCGTGATCGTGATGGGAGGCCGGTGGTTGCCAACGATGAAGTGCGCGAAGAACAATCAGAGCCGCATCACGTTGTGCGCGTATCAGAGGCCATGGCCCGACTAGGGTTACGCGGTGTTGGCGCCGCGTATACTGTTATATAATGGGCAGAGATGTGGGGCGATCAGCCGGCGCCGCACGACAATCTCAAGCGCGGGCCCAACCACGCCTCTATTTACGATGTTGATGACGTGGCGGAGATAGTCTGCGGACTAGGCTTGCCCCCCATTGGGAGTACGCCCTCCTTCTACGCGAAGCATGGTGGGCAATTGCCCCGCGGGGTGGTTTGGCGTGTATACAGAGTATTGGGTGATGGGGTTTAAGTTCCCCATCGACCCGCTCTTATGCGCTTTGTATAGGCGCCTTAAATGCTCCGTTGGGCGGCTCTCCCCGTCTGTGATCATGCACGCGAGCTGTCTCCGCCTCGCATGCAAAAGGCTTAACATCGAGCCGACTTACGACCTGTTCCGGAAGATATATAAAATCAAGGAGCCAACAACAAAAAGCAATTTCCTTTCCATCAAGCGTCGCGACAAGAGGCCCGACGGCTTCGTGTATGGATCGCCCAAGTTAAAGAAAACTTGGTTCGAGCGCTTTTTCTACGTCAAGCCCGTTCCAGGAGAGTGGGTGAGTGAGTTTGTGGAGGAGCCTACTGTCTGGAAGAAAGGAAGCACGCTCGGGTATGAGTCGGATGCCGGCACCTATGACTGGCTGAATGACGAGTATGAGGCGTGCATGCCTCATAGGATCAATTTATACGAGGGGGGAGTGAGCGAGGCTTGTTTGCAGGAGCTGTTCGACGATGGTTAGTTGTATTTCTTTTCTTTTGCATTCTATCATATTAACCGCTCTCTTACGACTTATTGGCGCAGGTGTTGACTTCTCCAGCCTGGTTAGCATGATGTCGGTTGATGACGTTGTGAAGGCGCCGCGCGCTGTCAAGAAGAAGAAAAAGAAGGAGAGCGCGGTGTCGAGGGCTGCGAAGCGGAAGGAAATTGAGCATCCACTGGCGGTTGAAAAGCCCCGTAAGGCGGCTCGTTTTGCAGAACCAAGTGCGCAGGCGGCGCAGGCTCCACAAGCGGAACAACCGCTATCTGTCGCGCGGCAGCTATCTCTGGCGCTTTCAGAGCCAGAGGCGGCGGTGAGTAGGCCTTCTTTGTCTAAGAGAGAGAGGGCTGGCAGCTCGTCGGGTGCCACCGTCCAGCAGAAACTGGACGAGATGGCTGGCTTTGGAGGGACTCCCGCAACCACCGCTCACGGCGCCGCTGCTATCAACTACTTCCGCGATTTGCGGATTCACACCGCGGCGGCTTGCAATCTGGCGTCCGCAAATACCGCTCTCCGGGCACTCGGGCATGTCCTAAGTGTTCCGCCGCGGGTGGAGAAGTCTGATCCCCTTCATGACTTGGCTCAGATCCACTTCGCGGTAAGATCGGGTTGAGTTCTCGCGGAGTTCGAAGTTATCTCATCTCTTTTTTTTGCATTGAATGCAATGTTTTGCTAAGTCTTTTAGCGTTGTGGTTGTAGGGTTTGTCGGCGACCTTCCGGGCTCAGAAGGAGCGCGCAAGGATACAGGCCGACGAGGAGAAGATCGTCCAGCTGGAGGGGAAGGTCGTTGGGGCGAACAATCATGCCGACGTGGCAACGAATAAAGCCAACGAGGCGATGGAGGAACTCGGCGTCCTGCACAGCAAGTTGGCTGCCGACGTGAAGGCGGCTAAAGAGCAGGTGCGGGTCGAGGAGCGCTCCGCCATCCGCGATCAGCTGGAGGCCTCTTACGCTGAGAAGTTGAAGCAAGCTCACGAAGAGCTTCAAAAGGAGAAGGACGACCTGGTCCGCCTTCACAGTATCGCGAAAGCGGAAGCTGTTCGCGCGGCCGAGGTCGCGGCCGTTCGTCAGTTCAAGTCTTCTCCTTCTTTCGGGAAGATTTTAGCGGACGCCATGACCAAGGCCGTGATCGCGGTCGGGAAGAAAGTTCGGCCGGAGAACCCGGGGGTTCGCTGGGATACTCGCGAGATGGTTCAACACTTCCAGATGTGGATTGGCGAGAAGCGGCCCTTGGAGTCTGACTCCGAGTCAGGGGATGAGGATGAGGATGAGGAAGGAGAAGAGCCCAGAAGCTGAGGGCGCGAGTAGGGATGTCGAGCAAGCTGATGATGACGAGGAAGAGGATGTTCAGCCCTTGTTGCGCCGCAAGCAGAGTAAAGAGGATGTTCAGCCTGACACTGATGGCGCTTAAGTGTTATCGCGCTGACGTGTTTCCTTTTTGAGTTTGTTGTTTTGTTGCCTTTCTTGTTTTCTTTTCCCTCCTTTTTTTCAGGTGTAGTTGCGAGCAATGTTGATGCTCCCGCTTAATCGAATCCAAAGAGTCCTCATTTAAGGCGTTTATTTGTTTCTTCGAATCGAGTGGGCGCGAATACTAATTTTTGTTCTTGCGAAGTGTGTGGGCGCAAATAGTGCATGACTATCGCTATTTTTGTTCTTGCGAACTTAGTGGGCGCGAATAGTGCGGGACCATTGCTAATTTTTGTTCTTGCGAACTGATTGGGCGCGAATAGTGCTGGATTATTGCTAATTTTTGTTCTTGCGAACTGAGTGGGCGCGAATAGTGCGGGACTATTGCTAATTTTTGTTCTCGCGAACTGAGTGGGCGCGAATAGTGCTGGACTATTGCTAATTTTTGTTCTTGCGAACGGAGTGCTTTTCATTCCTTTGAGACAAAGCACAATAGTGAGTAAAATACATATTAGGTTGCCTGGTGATATTTCCTGAGATTTTGCGCATTCCACGTCCTTTGTATCTTGTTGCCCCCCAACTCGCTGAGTTTGAAGGTGTTGGCACCGACCACTTCGCAGATTAGGTATGGACCCTCCCACGCTGAGGCGAGCTTTCCATGCTTGGGGTCGGGGCGAAAGTTCCGTCGCAGTACTTGGTCTCCGAGGATTAGCTTGTGCGGGACCAGCTTTTTGTTGTGGTATTTGGCCACCTGCTCCTTCATTGCGGCCAGCTTGATGGTTGCTAACTCGCGCCTTTCCTGCGCTAACTCCAAGTCTAGCAAGCGCGCCTCATCATTGGTTTCTTCGTTGTACATCGTGATCCGATAGGTCGGGGCTGTTGTCTCCGAGAGTACTCTTATCGTTTTCGCGCCCAATTCGTGGGCGGCAGACATTCTCGTCAGGATGGCCTCGTACTCGGCCGCGTTATTCGTCTTCAACGCTCTTAACCTGATTGCTATCTCGTGAACGGCGCCTGTGGGTGTGCGAACAACGACCCCCGCGCCAGCACCATGTTTACTTGCCGCTCCGTCGACGTAAACCTCCCATACCTCCTCTGGTGTTGTTTCGAGGGTGACTCTTTCAGCAATGAAATCTGCTAGGATTTGGGCTTTTATTGCTGGTCTCGGCGCATATTGGATATCGTACTCTGAGAGTTCGACCGCCCATTTCACCATGTGCCCCGACACTTCCATCGAAGTTAGGATTTTCTTTAGCGGGAGGTTGGTCAGGACAGTGATCTGGTAAGCTTGGAAATAAGGACATAACTTCTGTGACGCGCTTACCAATGCCAGGGCGGCTTTCTCTATTGGGGAGTATCTTGTTTCCGTGCTGACTAGCGTACGCGAGGTATAATACACGGGTAACTCGGCTTTATCGTTTCTTCTGGATATCAGGACTGCGCTCACAGCTCTTGTTGACACGGCCAGATAAAGGAATAACTTTTCATTAAGCTTGGGAGCGGTCAATACAGGAGGGAATACAAGATACGCTTTCAACTCTTGGAATGCCGCTTCACATTCCTTGGTCAATGCAAACTTTGTGCCGCTTTTAAGTGTTTTGAAGAAGGGCGCGCACTTGTCGGCTGACCTCAGTATGAATCTCCCCAGCGCTGCTATTTTGCCATTCAGGGACTGGATTTCCAATGCGCTCCTTGGTGCCAGTAGTTGTTGGACCGCCGTGATTTTTTTTGGATCGACTTCGATGCCGCGCTTGGTTATCATGAAGCCAAGAAACTTCCCTGCTTCCGCTCCGAAAACACACTTTAATGGGTTTAGGCGAAGATTATGTTCGCGGAGGGCTTCAAACGTCTCGCGCAGATCCTCCAGATGTGAATTTCCCGGTTTGGTCTTGACAATGAGATCATCCACATATGCCTCGATGTTCCGCCCAATCTGTCGGGAGAACACCGTGTCGATCATTCTCTGGTATGTCGCGCCTGTGTTCTTCAGGCCGAACGGCATCCCAACAAAACAGAAGTTTCCAAATGGCGTCATGAATGCCGTTTTTTCTTCGTCTTCGCGGGACATTGGGATTTGGTGGTATCCCTAGAACATGTCAAGGAAAGACAGTGTCTCGTGGTCGGCGGTGGCGTCGATAAGTTGGTCAATGCGCGGGAGTGGGTAAGGGTCTCCCGGGCACACCTTGTTGATTGTTGTGTAGTCAACGCACATTCGCCAGGCTCCTGAGGATTTCTTCACCAGGACTACGTTTGCTAACCACTTTGGATATTTCACCGGGCGTATCAATCCTGCTGCCAATAACTGCGCGACCTCTTCCTCTATGGCCTTCAATTTGTCGCCGGTAAAGCCTCTTCGCGCCTGTTGCCTTGGGTGCGCATTGACTGAAACTGCGAGGCAATGCTGGGCTATCTCTCTTGGAACTCCCGGCATGTCTTCTGTGCACCAAGCAAAGAGCTCTTTGTACTACTTCAGCAGCGTTATCAGAGGTTCGATCGCGTCGCTGTGGACGTGCGTTGAGATGCGTATTTTCTTAGTCGGCTTAGCTGGGTCGATGGCGACCTCGAAGTCAGAATCCATAGATTCCGGACGCGGCTCCTCTGCTCTCGTGTCCACAATGTTGGTTTGGCGCGCTTCTTCGCGCTCTTTCCATTGCGTGCCTCGCGCCTCCCCGATCCCTGTCTTGGTGGGGAACTTGAGCTTTTGGTGGCATGTTGATGGGAGAGCCATGAATTTGGCTAGGAAGGGTCGGCCCAGGATGCCGTTGTGCGCCGACTTGCAGTCGACTATTGTGAATTCAACCTGCTTGGAGACGCGCGGCTCCTGGTCTCTGACTACTACTGGAAGGGTGACCACGTCGATTACTGGAACCCTTGTTCCGGAGAACCCCACTAAGTTACCCTGTGCGCGCTTGATTAGGCGCGGGTCGATATCCATTTGATCGACTGTGCTCTGGAAGAGGATGTCAGCTGCGCTTCCGCCATCTATCAGTAGACTGTGGATTTTACAGGCGGCAACCAGCACAGTGATGATGAGTGGGTCCTCCGATGGGACACCTTGTGGGAATTCTTCGTCATCGAAGCTCAGGTTGCACTTCTGCCGCGTCTCGACTGCCTCGCATTCCGCTGCGCGCTCGCGCTTGGTTTTCTTTTTGGGGCAGTCTCCCTCTAACGTCACCACCCCTATCTCCTTCTGCACTACATATGCGCCCGTGGCTTCGTTGTAGTCGGCCTGCGGGGGTGGTGGCGCGTCTTGGGGACGCGCTACCTGTTCCTCTTTCTCGCGGGTGAACTCGGTCAGTAGTCCTCGTCGTATGAGGCCTTCTATTTCGAAACGCAGCTCTCTGCAATCTTCTGTCCAATGCCCTGTTGCTCTATGGAAGTCGCAGTATTTCTTGGGATCGCGCATGTGCGGTAAGGACTTCAGGGGCGCGGGCCAATTGATCTTGTATCCTTTCTCGCGGAGGACGTGAAACACATTCTTCACGGAATCGTTGAGTGGCGTCTAGGCGCTCGTCATGCGCCTTTCTGGCGATCGCCCTCGTTGCGTTTGCTCTTGAGGGGGATGGCGTTTCGGCCCGCTGTGTAGTTGCACCAACTGTTCTCGCGGCGGCACCGGAAGCTGTCTCCTGCCCTGGTCTTCTCGGGGCGCTCTTGCCGGTTCAAAGCGTCTGAAGATCCCGCTCCGAGGGTTTCCTCTAGCGTGATAGCTTTCTCGATTTTCATCTCCAACTCTGTCGACAGCGTGACAGGTCTTTTCGCTAACGCTCTCTTGAGCTCCATGTTGGTGGTGGCTTCCATGAGGTGATGGGCGGCGGTCTTGGGGGTAAGATCGCGCACGGCCATTGCCACCTTGGACCATCGAGTGTAGAACGCTCGCAGGCTTTCTCCTTCCTTTTGCTTGATGTCTATCAGCTCCTTGAGGTGGAGAGGTCTTCTTTTTTGGGACGCGAATTTCGTCGTGAATAAGAGTATGAATTCTTTGAATGAGCGGATGATTCCGTTCGGCAGCCTGTTGTACCAATCGAGGCATATCCCGGCGAATGTTGACGGGAAGGTCCTGCATAGTGCCGCGTTGGAGTTGGTTTGGAGTTGCATCCGCAGGCAGAAGGTGCTCACGTGGTCTTCGGGGTGGGTCGTTCCGTTATACGTCGGGAGGGCGGGTGGCATTCCGCTCAGGTGTTCCGCCATGATTTCTGCGCTTAGCGGTTGGTGGCGGGTTGGGACGGTATTGCGGAGATAGATGTTGCTCCAAGAAGCTGAGGTCCGCCCTTCCTGGCAGCTCAACTTGTTGCGTTTCGTACGCGGGGTGCGGTGGTAGGGCAGTCCCCGACGTTTCTCCTGGGGCTTGTTGGGGCGCGACTGGTGTCGCATCTGCTGTGAGCTCAACTTGTTGCGTTTCTTACGCGGGGTGCGGTGGTAGGGCAGTCCCCGACGTTTCTCCTGGGGCTTGTTGGGGCGCGACTGGTGTCGCGCCTGCTGTCGTCGCGGCCTCTTTGCTCATCATGAGCGCTATGACTTGGCTCATTTGTTTCTGCATGTCAGCTATGACGTCGTTCTGTTTCGCCATCAGCTGTCTCATTTCTTTGGCTGTGAGCTCGGGCTCTTCCTCTTCCAGGAGCACCGCGTTGAGATTGCTAGTTTCCGCGAATTCCCTTGGGTTGGTCATCGCTTTGATGGGCGTTGATTCGTCAGGCGAGTTGGAGTTATGCTCTGCCATAGGTCGGTTTTTTTTACTTCTCTACTTGGCCCCACGGTGGGCGCCAATTGTTTGAGCCTAACTGGGTGTAGGAGTGAGACTCGGGAAGATGGGTCAAGGAGAGTAAGCAAGGGAAGAATAGCCGTCGATGGAAGAACTGAGGAAATTACGAATAGAGTTGAGAGGGTAATATCTTAGAGAGAGAAGTGGATAATCTTAGAGATAGAGTCAGAAAAATCCGATCCCCTCACCCACCGGAGTAAATGCCATATTTATAGGCTACATGGTGGTGGGTGAGTGGGTGAATGGTTGAGGTACATGATGGTACAATGATATGACCACTGACATGTCAGGGATTTAGGCCATGCCCATACCTAGGACATGTCAGAGGCTTACCTATGACCGTGTTAGGGACCCTGATGTGACTACCCCTCGGGAAGCGAGACGACGCTTTCTACGGCTCTTTGGTATGGTTCACGCTTCGATCCTTCCACGCGCACATAGCATGTGCCGCGCTCGAGGTCTTCGCGCCGGTCCGCCCTCACGGTGTCGCGCTCGCTGGGATCTCCGCGCTCGGTAGCGTCGGTACGTTCCTCTGACGCTGCTAGGTCCGAGTCACATGCCCAACAAACCCGAACCAGGCCAAAAACCCGTCAACACGGGTTTTACTCGCGTTGACCGGGTTGGGCCGGATGGGTACCCGTGGATTCGGGTTTTGTTGCCATCCCAACTCAAGATTAAGAGTTGTTCCCAAATTAAGAGTATATTGGATGATTCTCTCACTTATTTGGTGTGAGCGTGTGGTGTGGCAATTGAATAGATGTTTAGCTTTGATGTAGTTTAAAACTTTGTTAGGTCATCGCTATAGCATGATGAGAAGAATCATAATTATGGATTAAAGTAATGTGACGAGAAAACAAACCCCAAATTGTTGGTATTTCTTTTGGAAAAGCAGATGTTTGGTAATGGGAGGTAGGTTGGTGATCCATAATTTTTTGGCAGCTTTACTATTTCGTAATACCCATAAATCCAAGCTTTTGTATCTTTTTCCCCCTTCTGTTTTGAAGGAATTTAGCATAAAAATTATACAAATGTATTTTCTTGTATTGGAGGGATAAAGCGCATAATCAGATATTGCATCTTGGTTTTGAGTGGAGTCAGATCTAAAGGTTTATATCAATTTTTTTTTTATTTTTCATACATTTTTAAATTGGATTAGTGTCTTTTTTGTATTTGATTTTTTTCTCAAATATGGAACGTATTCATTATGATCTACTAAGTTACACTATTTTTAATGTATTTTCATAAAAGAATTTCGTACTAATTTCATTTTTAATTCACATTTCTATAAATTTCAAGGCCAAATGTACCACCCTGGTATATGATGTGTAACTGGTGGTAGATGATTGTTAAAGATTGTATATGGTGATTAGCATATTTATATTATCCATTATACAATCATTCTAGATTATGAAATATTCATATTATCATGATACAATTCTATACTATTATGGTAATCTTATAATACTATCAAGCATTACCAACATGGTATACACGGGTAATATATGTATCAATTTTGTTAGTTTCAAAAGATATAAAAATGGATGTTATTTTGAAGAGCGTGATTAATCCGATTTTTCAATTCTAACTAAATTCAAAAGTTATAGCCCATTAAATTGAAAACAAGTTATTCATGATCATTAACCAACCAAGTTATTTATCGGATATGGTCCCAATTGATCTTCATGTCAAATGAAATGATTTAACTTTCTCGGTTAAAAAAATAGAAGCCGAAAAATGCTAGTCCCATTTTCACAAAATTATCTCATTCAACTTTTGCATCCAAAAGACCGGTAAGACTGCCAAGGTTACATAGCTGATAGCCCAACTGGTAAAACTCTTGAGAGACTCTCGACCAGGAAGTGTGAGGTCAAGTGTTCGACCTAACTCGAGGCCTCAGGTCAGTTTTGGTGTTTCTGGAGGTACCAAAAGAGAATTTTAGTGGAGGGCTCAAATGACTTAAGTAGGTGAACCTTCAAATTTGGTCTCACACTCTCACTCCATCATTGCTCAAACGGTGTGTGTTGAGCATGTTCCTGGGTTATATAAAAAAAAACCTAAGACAGTAAGACTCAAACAAAGAAACCCGACATAATTACAAGGAAATATAACAAGTAAACTATACAAAAGCAAATGTTAGAAACATTTTTCTCAACTCCCCCATGGGAACAACACCAACATGAACAGAGAGAACAGAGCAAGATATAGAAAATGAAATACAGAGGAATACCGCGCGCCAACTAATGTAAACTACTACTACAGCTGTTCTTCAGTGAGTTCAGACTTCTCCCTTTCTTCTTCTTCTTCTTCTTCTTTCGTTTTTTAATAAGTTTTTTTATTCATACCAATAGAATAAATAAATGAAGAAAGGTTGTATTAAAAAAGTGGTGGAAAACTTCTCGTTGAATTTCAATGGCGTTCCCATCATTTAAGACTCCCTCTCCCTTCATTTACACCACCTGGGTTTCCTCTCTCTCTCTCTCTCTCTGCTTCCCATGTTTCAATAATGTCCCCAGATTAACATGCTCGCTGTCTCCTCCCAAACTTCACTGGTACAACAATCTCACCAATTCATAAAAGTTTCAAATCTTTACCCCATCTCCATGGATCCTCCTCCTATGCCACCGCCTCCTGCCCCACTGCTACATTCCTCCGACACCAGCTTCCCCATCATAGCCGTGGCCGTCATCGGCATAATCGCCACAGCGTTCCTACTGGTCAGCTACTACGTCTTCGTCATCAAATGCTGCCTCAATTGGCACCGAATCGACATCCTCAGAAGATTCTCACTGTCGAGAGGCAGAGCCCACGAGGAGGCATTGATGGCTGCTCGCTCCCCTTCAGTAGTGGAGCCCAGGGGGCTCGAGGAATCGGTCATAAGGTCGATCCCTGTTTTCAAGTACACCAAAACAGAGCATCAGGAAAAACAGGGGAAATCGCCATGTTCCGTCGAATGCGCCGTCTGTCTCAACGAGTTCGTCGAAGAAGAGAAGCTGCGAAAAATCCCCCATTGCGGACACTTATTCCACATCGATTGCATCGACGTCTGGCTGCAGAGCAACGCCAACTGCCCGCTCTGCAGGACCAGCATTTCCTCCTCCTCTTCAGCAACAGGGATCGGGTTGTTGCTGCTGCCCATGGGTCAGGTTTTCGGGTCTTCGTCCGATCCCAGCCCGACTCCGTACCCGGAAAGGATCGAGATCGGCGGGGACGAAGATTACGTGGTGATCGAATTGGGAAATTACGTCACGAACAGCCGGCAGAGCTCCACGGACAGGACGCTGCGAGCGGCGCAGGAAAGGCTAATGAATTCAGGGGAACTTCTGCCGACGCCGCGGACATTCGAATTCGGCGCTGCCGTGGACGAGAAGAAGGGGAGGAAGGTGGGCAGGAAAGTGATGACGAGTAAAGGAGATGAATGTATCGATCTCACGAGAGGGAAAGAGGACAGGTTCGGGATTCAGCCGATTCGGCGGTCGTTTTCTATGGATTCCTCAGCGGATTGCCAGCTGTTGTTAAAAATTCAAGAGATTGTTCAGCAGCAGAGTAGTAGTGTTAGTAAGGATAGGCAGAACGCTGAAGTGGGTATTCCAGTTGAAGGGTGTAGTGGTGGAAGTAGCAGGAGCAGAAGGAATTTCTTTTCGTTTGGACATAACAGAGCATCGAAAAATGCAGTCTTGCCTGTATCTCTGGAGTAATTTTCTTCTTCTTTCTTTTTAGTTTACTTGATCATGTATGATTTCATAGATACAGAAAGAGAGTAGATTCTGGGATTGGGATATATAAGATTTAAGATTAGACATCATTTAATCATGAAAACACCCCCAAAATTGCTTCTTTTCCTTATTTGATGATTCTCTTTGGATTCGTTCTCAAACGGGCTGTTGAATCTGACTTTTTGTTTGTCATAAACCCACATGATTGCGAACAAATCACTATTTTGTTTTCACTCATTTGATTAATCAATGCAACACAAACCCAAATGTAATTATTAATCCACTACAGATTCTAGCAAATAGTAGTTAAACAATGAACTGCTGATCCACCGTCCCACTATTGAGTGGATCCGAATCTCTGGCCACAAATCTATTAGGCTTCAAATGGGTATTGGAGTATGGATGAAGGCAATTGATTTGGTGCACTTTTTGTCTCGCCTGAATGAGGATAGTTTTGATGAAAAGTAGTTATAGGCAGGGAGGCATTATAGGCCCGTGCACAATTGCTGCCTGGCCAATATATGTGTGATCAAAAGCAAAGGACGGCATCTCCTCCAAGGAACAAAAAAGGAGAAGCTAGAAAAGGGAAGTTTGCAAGCAAACAAACAGGGTTAACCCCTCCACCACCCAATCCCATCACCCTAAGAAAATCAAAATGTCAATAATGCTACAGTTTTGGCCCAAGTTGCAAGAACAAAGTTTGAAAACATGGGTTTGGATGGATGGAGGGAGGGTAGGAATGGGTCGTTTTCAAAATTTGAGATTTCTTCATATGAATCAATGATGATGGCAAAGGAGAGCAAGCCAGCACCAACAACAACATGATGCTCTTTCAATAATGCCCATGCCCCCAACCCATTGTTTGGTACTTTGGTTGGTCAGGGTTTGGTAGCAGTTCCTATTCTTCCCCTAACAACCTGCTCTCCAAGTTCTTAGCCAGCCAGGCTGTAAAAAAGAATCATGAATCATCATCACCATCATCGTCGTTCAACTAAACATTGAAGCTACTAATGTGTAGCCGACGGGGTGGAGGGGATGGATTGAGTTTTGTTAAGTTGTTGGCGAAGAGTGGAGAGCAATCAGGAGAAATGCAGCATGTGGGAACGCTGAGTTGGAAACAGGGGAATAGGGAAAAATAAAAAGATTGTTGGTAGACAGAGTCGCAGAAGTCCAACGAGGAGGGACAGTGAGTCTTGCAGCTACTTCAATACACCTCCTTCCTTCCTTGCAAGCTCATGAAAGAAAAGGAATCGGTACTATTCAATAAAAAACAATGATATGATCGTTTGTTATTAAAAAAACATATATTCTTGACCTGGAGGCAGTTTGCAGGCCAATAAATTGGTCCCCAATGGGTTGTTGTTGGTGTGTTTGCGAAGCCAGATTTTTGGTGGGATGATATATGGGTCTCCTCTCTCGTTTAGAGCAGCCTCTGTATAGGTGAAGGCAGGAAAAAATCCCAAAGTACACACGTTCTTAAAAAAAATTCTCAAAATACATGAGTTATAAAAAAAATTCCCAAAGTACACATGTTTGAGCATCACCGTTTTAGACAAACGCGGTGAAGATCATCACCGCGTTTGACAAACACGGTGAATGCTTCACCGTTTTAAACAAAAACGGTGAAGTATTCACCGTATCAGACCAAAACGGTGAAGTTTTCACCGCGTTAATTAACAACGGTGAATACATCACCGTTTTGGTCAAAAACGGTGAAGCCTTCACCGTTGTTAACTAACGCGGTGATCATTTCCCACGTTTCCCACCCCTGGTAGGTCAAAATTAGGTCGCAGCTACCACCTATTCACCGTTTGAGACAAACGCGGTGATAGTGTTCACCGTTTTTGACAAAAACGGTGAATAGTAGGCAGATTTTCCTATAAATACCACACCACCAGCAGTTGTAAAAACATAACCACTCCCCTTTCTTCAAATTTCAGCAGCCAAAATCGAGCATAATACACAGAACAGAAATTTTTCGGTATGTTGAGACTTTTCGTATTATGGTCTAATTATGTTTTTAGTAGTTATAGTATGATTTAATTTTCGTATTATGTTGTTGTTAGTTAGTTGAACTTATGTTCGTTAGTTATAGTATGATTTAATTTTCGTATTATGTTGTTGTTAGTTAGTTGAATTTATTTTCGTTAGTTATGGTATGATTTAATATTAGTTGTACAATATGATTTTGGTTAATTTTACTGTCTTTAAGCTAATAGATACTTATTGTAAATTGTAGATATGGGTAAATTCAAGAAGTTTCATCTTACTATTCGGTGGAATGGAAGGGTGACAAACTCTGACATAGGCATTGATTATGAGGACGGCGAATCCATTATGCTGAAAATTGAATCCCGATTCAATTTTCAAGAACTCTATGATCTTTGTGCAGAAAGGGTTTGTACGAGCGGACAGACGAGACTTGGCAAAATTACTTACCGGTATCCAGACATGAGTGCTGGCGGGGTCGTGTTCCAAGAAGTTGTCATAAACGATGATGACGCGGTTATGATGATGTTACAGTTCCTAAGCGATAACCAAGTCCGGCTTGCAGAGGTGTATGTTGAGACCGAGGCGCTCGGTGAATCTCATTCTCACCAGTATTCTTATGATGATGGTTTTGCAGGATTGTACGAATGGGGTGGTAGTTCGAGCAACTACCAAGGCGGTGGTTATACAGGAGGTTACGGGGAGGGTGGTGGTTCAATCAACTACGGTGGATCGAGTAGTGCAGGATGGGACCAATACTCGCAACCTCCTAAACCAGCCCCATTTGTTGAGGCCGATGGTGTTCAATGGCCTGCTTGGGGGCCAGAGTGGTATGGAATCGAGAATACCATTCGATCAGGGCGTACTTCACATGAGCGAGAGGACGATGTTGGTGATCGTGGTCATGTTGATCCTTCTAGCTCGAGCTATCCATTCGAGTCAAGCGACGAGGATACTGAGGAAGATTTGATATCAGTGAGCGAGGAGGAGGAAGATACTGATGATAACATTGGAAGATGCTCCCATACCCACAGTTGAACGATGAACATCGCAGCACCAGCTTGCTTTGCCCCAACCCTCGAGCAAGTACACAGCTCCCGGTATACGCCCGCTAGCACGGCCGATCCCCAACTCTTCTCTCCAATTGCATCCCAGTCACCGGTGAGCAATGGCAACCATATGCCTTGAATCCACCGGTTGGACTTGTCGGGGAACAAAAATCCACCCACCAAACCGATGAGGTAGATGCGGGCGTAGCGCTCGACTTGTTCTTCCGGTGTCTCGTCATTGATTTCCACCTCTTGCTGGATGTGAGATACCAGCCACGGGACCGACACTTGCCCCGCATTCAACGGTGGATGCCCTCGTCCTTGATTTGGTGTGGTGGTCGGCATGTCGAAGCCCAAACGATCACGGATGAGCGGCCCCCAACCTCCTTCGGGTTTGGTCGTGTTCCCAATGATGGCATCTCCAGATATAGGAAGCCCGGTGAGGATCGCCACGTCTTTGAGGGTGATCGTCATTTCCCCCTCCGCAAGGTGGAATGTATGGGTTTCGGGACGCCATCGTTCCGCCATTGCCGTAAGCAGCTCGTTGTCGATCTCGATCCGCAAGAAATGGCGCAACATTCCCAAACCGGTCCTCGCTATATAGGGCTCCAACCTTGGATGCCAAGCGGGCAAGTTATTGGTCCCTTTATGAACCACGGGAACAAGAGATTCCTAAAAAAAATAGGAAAAACATCAATTAATTAGATTAAATAAAGCAAAATAAATATTAGAAAATAATAAAATAAAGCAAGTCAGTTCATCAAATTACCGGATTGTTATCCCAAATGGCACCGGAGCGATGCATTTGCTGATCGGTTAATAGACTCGCATCCCTTGGGCCATAATGGATATACAATCGAGGATCGTATATCTCGGCACCCATCTATAAAAAAGTAATATAATCAGAGATTGTTTTGATAAAAAATAAATCAAATTGTTTCGATTAAAAAAAATCACAAACCAAAAACCTACACGAAGAGCCTCTTCGTCCATTATTGGCGGAAGCCGGACAGAGGTTCGACGGGTTTAGCTTTGTAAGGGACGGGAACTTAGCGGGACGGGGGCTTTAGGGTCAAACTCTAGTAATTCTTTCTGATGTGGAAGATCGGACTTAGCCGCAAACACAGAGCATACTTAGAACGAGACTAGAGCGGATAAATTGAGGGAGAAAGAAGTGAAATGTTTGTGGGGTGAGTTGAAAGTGAAAGGGGAAGGGGGTATTTATAGTTTGGGGGAAGGGGGGAGGAGATGCGCAGCAGTTATTAGGGCTCCATTCACCGCGTTTGATGAACGCGGTGAACTCACCGCTTTAACCAAACGCGGTGAATGTATGGGTGACATGGCGTGCTGTGAGGCGTCGGATCGTGGGAAGAAAACCACGATCCGCGTCTCACCGCATCTAACGGCCACGGTGAAAGCACATTGGCGCGGATTGCTGACGCAAACAAACACGGGTTATTCACCGTGTTTGTCTAACGCGGTGAATACCCCGTGCTGTCCACGTCAGCATCTTCACCGCGGCCGACAAAAACGGTGAAGGCTTCACCGTTTTAGTCTAAAACGGTGAAGCCTTCACCGTTTTTGTTTAAAACGGTGAGGTATTCACCGTTTTTAACAAAAGCGGTGAACAATTCACCGTTTTAGTTTAAAACGGTGAAGTACTCACCGTGTTTGTCAAACGCGGTGATGACCTTCACCGTTTTAGACAAAGACGGTGATGCTCAAACATGTGTAGTTTTGGAATTTTTTTTATAACTAATGTATTTTGGGAATTTTTTTTAAAAACTAGTGTACTTTGGGATTTTTTCCGGTGAAGGCATGTGCTTAGCTTGCACCATGGGCATAAGTAAAACATTATGCAGTTTCGGGTAGTAAAATATGTTGAATTTATGTGTTTGAGAGAGATAGAGAGACAGCAAGTAGAAGAAGTTGCTCGTTTGACTATTTACTGGTTGGTTTGACGGATTACTATTGAGATGAATAATGACAATTACTTTGCTGCTAGTTTGATCATCAGTGATGGCAATAGGCGGCGCAAGACGGGTACCTCAATACTCATATTCCATTTCATGTTATTGTAGGATGAGGCGGGTAGTATTCGCGCGGGTACGTGGCAGGACGGGTCGATACGTTCTTACATGTTATTTGAAAAAAAATCCACGCAAAAGTTTA